TGGAGCATGGGGTATCTCGGGGGATAGGAGAGGCCTAAGACAGGTGGGCTTGTGCCTGCACTAGGTCCCTCTAGGTCAGAGGTTCCCAACCAGGAGTGCGAGACAATATTTCAGGGGGTGGAATATTTCGAGATTATAGTGTATATACATAATTTGTTGCTGTTATTTTGAACTTTTGTAAGGAGGTGCGGAAATATATCAGAAGCATTCTAGGGGTGCGGGGAATAGAAAAGGTTGGAAACTGGTGCCCTAGGTCAGGGGGTAGGCAACCTTGGCTCTTTTATGACTCGTGGACTTCAACTCCCAGAATTCCTAAGCCAGCCATGCTGAGGGGAAAGGAAGAGGTTTCCATGCTGAGCCATGCTGGCTCAGGAATTCTGGGAGTTGAAGTCCACGAGTCATAAAAGAGCCAAGGTTGCCTACCCCTGCCCTAGGTCTTCCACACCCATTAGGCATGCCAGGCTCCACCTAATCACCCCCATGTTCATTTAACTGGAGAAAACAAGGATGGCAGGGTCCTTAAGTGAGGTGATTCACTTAATGGTCATCCCAACTTTCGACTGTAATGGGCATGATCCATTAGGGTCATAATTCAGGGACTATCTGTAGCAGGGCTAGCACCAAGACACTGTAAACTGTACCAACACAATGGAAGTGGCTTCAAATTAGGATATCAAGCATTTGGTTTCAATGTCATAAATGGGACCTTTGGGGAGGCAAACATCAAAAGAATTGGAGTATTTGTTCAAAATATTTAAGAACTACAGCTAGTCCTCAACTTACAACAGTTCATTTAGTGGCCAAAGTTACAACAGTACTGAAAAAAAAGTGACTTATGACTGTTTTTCACACTTAAAACCGTTGCAGCATCTCCATGGTCGTAATAATAAAAATTCAGACACTTGGCAACTGACCCATATTTATGACGGTCGCAGTGTCCCAGGGTCATGAAATCACCTTTTGCGACCTCCTGACAAGCAAAGTCAATGGGGAAGCCAGATTCACTTAACCATTATGCCACCAACTTAACAACTGCAGTGATTCACTTACCAACTGTGGCAAGAAAGGTCGTAAAATGGGGCAAAATTCACTTAGCAACTGTCTCACTTAGCAACAGAAATTTTGGGCTCAAAATCGTAAGTTGGGGATGACCTCTAATTACCAAGGAGCCAGCAATTAAGAGTCATGGTGGCACAGTGGTTACAGTGCAGTACTACAGGCTAATTCTGCTGACTGCCAGCAATTCGGCAGTTTGAGTCTCACCAGCTCAAGTTTGACTCAGTCTTCCATCCTTCCGTGGTCAGTAAAATGAGGACCCAGATTATAGGGGGGCAATATCCTGACTCTGTGAACTGCTTAGAGAGGGCTGTAAAGCACTGCAAACCAGTATATGCTAAGTGCTATTGCTATTGCTAATGAGGCAGCATATATTACTTGAGTACAAATGTATACTTGCTTGTGGCATTTCTTTTCCATGAGAAAAGAAGAATGCTTCTTCCAAAAATGGGTCCTTATTATGTTTAAAAACTCTGTGCTTTCTTTAAGGAGCTCAAGGAGGCTTAAATAGCTCCCCCACCCCACCTCCCGCACCATTCTTTATTCTCAGAAATAGACTACAAGGAGAAAATAAGAAGGGGATGTAATGATTTGGATGTAGATTACATCACTCATATTTAATCCCACTGAAAATCAATGGAGCTGAAAATAATGAATCATATTTCAGAAGAAGGAAAGCCTGTTGAACCATGTCTGGATTTCAGAAGAACTATGCTGAAATGGCCAGAAGCACAGAGTATACAACCCAGCCTTGGTCCTTTTCAAATGGTTTAACTCAGGGGTAGACAACCTTGGCTCTTTTATGACTCGTGGACTTCAACTCCCAGAATTCCTGAGCCGCCTGGTTGCCTACCCCTGATGTAAGGTTGCCTACCCCTGATGTAGCCAAGGAGCCAAGGTTGCCTACCCCTGATGTAAAATTCCTACTGGCTGGGGAATTCTGGGAGCTGAAGTCCACACAGTAGATCTTAAAGTTGCAAAGTTTGAACGAACACTACGCTGAACTCAGCTTCCAGATGTTTTGGATCACATTTTCTTATTTCTGGCACTGGTGGTGATGCTGGTGAGTTATAATCCAGGAGTGTTTATCTACAGTAGTTCTTCTTTACAGCACAAGACAAAGCCTTGGATGTGAGCATCACCTCCTCTCTAGCCTGAACAATTCCATAACATCTGATTCACAGTCTACCTCTATACCTTTTCTAATCATGTGCCCTCCAATTTATTGAAAAAGACCATCCCCATCATGACTTGGCCCTGGGAAGAAAGTAAGGACCTTCATCATTCATGGCGACTTCAGATCTAATTATTCTCAGCAATTTGATAGTCAGCACTCACCAAAGACTGCAATACCCATTAACCCCAGCCTGTATAGTTCAGACCATTAGCCATGCTAGGTGGAGGTGAAAGCGATCTGAATTCACATCATGGAGGACCATGCTCAAGAGAAATCTAGCATCTCAGGTTTCCCTAAGGTAGTACTTATGAATCACCACAAACCCTACCCTGCTCTGTTTGAAAGACTTATGGAATTAATATAATATTAAAAAGAGAACCCTATCAAAGCAATGATCAACAATCAGATACTGTACTCAAGTATTTGGGTGTATCACACTCTTACTCATGCTCAAATGCCTTTCTCATTGGTACAGCTTTCTAAAGGTGCAATAATGACATGTTAGGTTTTGGTGCATCTGTTTGTGGTTTACCTGTGGAAGCATTTGAACATGCTACTCCATTGTTTTACTGGAAGACTCCAGGCAGAATCGATCATTTAAGAATTCTTTCTCATTAAAACAATTCAACTATAGGTAATCCTCAACTTACAACCACAATTAGGAATAGAATTACTGTTGCTAAGCAAGGCAGTTATTAAGTGAGGCACACCTGATTCTGCTAAATGAATTACAGTTAAATGAATCAGGCAGTCATAAAGTGAACCTGGCTTCCCCCATTGACTTTGCTTGTCAGAAGCCAGCTGGGAAAATCAGAAATAGTGATCCGGACCCTGGTATGTTGCAGTCATTCTAAATAAATGCTAACTGTCGAGTGCCTGAATTTTGATCATGTGACCGTGGGGATGCTCTGATAGTCATAAGTACAAGGATTAGTCATAAATCACTTTTTTCAGTGATTTTGAACAGTCACTAAATGAACAGTTGTAAGTCGAGGACTAAGTGTACTATGAACTATAATGCAGTGCAGTGTTAAAGAATCTGATTATGTGCTTCCATGAGAGAAGGTGTCCCCAAATTCCCAAAGAAATAAACACTGGGGATTTCATTAATATTCAAATGCTTTCTTTCCCAGAATTCAGACACTGGGATTTTTTTTTTTAAATCACCAAACCAGTCATCTTACCCCTCAATATATCTATGATTTGTTGTTTTTTTTCAAACTTGTCAACTTTAAGATGTGTGGATTTCAACTGCTGTCTGGGAATTCTAGGAGTTGAAGTCCACACATCTTAAAGTTGCCAAGTTTGAAAAATACAAACTATTATTATGTGGCGTCCTTGGTACTCTCCGAACCTGCATGTTTTCTTGCAGACTTTTCATTACCCCCTCTAACTGGGTAATGAAACGTCATTAAGAAAACAACCAAGCTCAGAGAGTACCATGGACTACACCAGTGTTTCTCAACCTTGACAATTTGAAGGCATGTGGACTTCAACTCCCAGAATTCCACAGCCAGCTTTGCTGGCTGTGGAATTCTGGGAGTTGAAGTCCACATGCCTTCAAATTGTCAAGGCTGAGAAACACTGGACTACACAATTCAAGTGTGAACTACAAACACCTCTCTTCTATTGGCTAAGCTGTTTGTACCCCGAGTCGAACCGCCAGCAGCCAGTCCCCCAGCCTTGTATCAATAAATCAGACTACAGTACAGGAAACACAAACAAGCGCCAGCCTTCCCTTGAAAGGGACACCATCTGGTAGCAGTAGAAAACAGAGGTGCCATTTTGCTCTCCCCCCCCTCCCACGAATAAACTTCCACAACAGCCTCTTCGGAGAAGATACCAATTTCACTCCCCCACAGCCCCCTGGATTAGACCCCCACACGGTCGTTTTCTCTTGCAACCCCCCCCCCTTTTGCTAAAAGATCCCATTTTCAGCTATTAGCCCCAGACCGTTTATAAGCCTCTCTGGATTCCTTCAGCAACGTCACGGGCAGTTTGGATCTGGTGTTCCTGGGAAAGAGGTCAGTCGTGTGTGTGTGTGGAGGGGGGGGGGGAAACCCCAACCGATTCAGGCAGAATTTTTAGTGGATTTAAGACCTCTCGCCGCAGATTGCACGGCTGAGGCACGTGGCTTGCGGGGCGAACACAGCACAACTACGGTATGCTGCGAAGGTGGGGGTGGGGGGGGGGAGAGAGGAAAAACTCCCAAAAATAGACCGCCGGAGGATTAGGGTGTGGAAAAGCCATAATGCGTTTCCTAGAAGGAATCGAAGCATTAAACTTTGCAGCCCGGAGGCCACGCCTGTGTTTATAAATCGGGCGGGTGGGGGGAGAACAACGGGAAAGGAAGGGTGGGAGATAGAAGGGGGGGAAAATGCAGGCGGAGGCGCTAAATCGGGCAAAAGCAGAGCGGGCGGGAGAAAAGTTCACCCGATCCTGCTCGCTCGGGACAAGGGGGGGGGGAAAGGACCTGGCTGCAACCCCCGCCGAAAACACCCACGATCCTCCCCCAGGCGCGGCGGAGGGGCCGTGGGAAATCGCAGAGCCCGGATTGCACGCGCGCTCCTGGCACCCCCCCCTCCTCCTCCCCGGTTGCCTCCTTTGCGTTCTGTTTCCAATCCTTTGCGGGGTGTGTGTGTGTGTGTGTGTGGAGGGAGCCCGCTCCGGCTGCGGGCCCTGCGCGGCGTCCTGGCTCTGCGCTGCGCAGCCCACCGAGGCCCTGCGGGCTGGGCGCCTCCGGCCGCGGCCGCGACCGCTCACTTACCCATTGCAGGAATTTGATGAAGCCGATGGGCTCCTTGGCGGGCCCCAGATCCAAACTAAACCCGGACATTTTCAGCAGGGAGCGAGCGGAGCGCAAAGGGAGGCGTCTCTTTCGGTTTCTCGCTCCGGGAAGGCGGAGCAGGGCAGGGGGAAGGGGCGGTTACGGCCGAAGGGGCCGCCAGCCTCCTACCTGATTCACTCGCTCCGGGCTGGCGCGGCCTCCTGGCTGCTGGCGCTCCGCCCCGCGGCAGGAGCGGCGGCTGCAAGGCGTCGGCCCCGCCGCTGGTGACAGTCGTCCTTGGAACCGCGGGGGGGAGCGCGCTGGCTCGGCCGGGAGCCTCCGTCCGGCCAGGCCCTCTCTAGCAGCGGGCGGCCCCCTCTTCCTCCAGGGCCCGCTCTATTTTCTGGGCGCCCCGCTCGGCCCTGTTTTGCTGGGCCCTCCCAGCCTCTGAGGGTGAAAAAAAACCACCCTTCCCTTGGCTTAGCGGGCTGTGATCCTTCATTTGCTTAACCTAACGTTTTGGCCGTGTCACTTGAGGTGATTCACTGGAAAAGCAATTAAATTTGAAAGGGTTAGTGGTAAAAGGAAACCAAGCCTTGAAAGAACACCAGCCAGAGCATATAGAAAAAGGACTGGAAGATGCGGAGAGACCTGGCGGATAGACAAGCTTGCTAAGAGTAGGACATGACTGAACGGATAACATCCACACTGGAACTTTTAAAGAAGGGATTAGTATAGGGTTTCTTGCTTGGGGGGGGGGGGTTGGACTAGAAGACCTCCAAGGTCCCTTCCAACTCTGTTATTCTATTCATCATTTTCTATTGATGGTTTAATGAAAGCCCAGATTAATGGTCTTACCAACTTTCCACAGTCAATGAGGTGTTGATGCTATACCAAGCAGGCCCAACCACAGGATCTATCCAACAACAAATAGCTGGCCACGTTTTAGTTTAGGAAATGTTCCTCAGCAAGTTCAAAATGAGTGGGATTCTGCTCCCAGAATTCCCAGTACTATATGATGGCAAGGAATTGTGAGAGTGGAGGAAACCTGGCTTAAAACCAGCCCAAGTCTGGTAATTTGTTAATGTTCCAAAAACAGATCAACTGCATAAGCCATGTTTCTATATCTACTGTAGCTTGAAGCTCCAGAAAATACATTCCCTGTGGCAGTAAGAGAATAGCTTACTAATCACTAAGTGATTCTGGTGAAATACAAAATTGCAAACTTGCAGTGTGAGTTTTTGTGGCCACTGCAGAGTGACTTTTCCCCCTTCCTTTTTCTCTGGCACTAATCCTTATTAAAGGAATGAAGCTTCTAATCCAAATGTCTCAAACTCAAGATTACAGTCACTTCTTAAAGCACGTGGAATTGAGGCTCCTTAATAGATTGGCTGTTCCAGTGAGATGGCTGCTGCTTAAAGTGAATTGCCAATATGTTAATTTCTTCTGAAAAATTGTATGTATTATTGAGGGACTTTGGGATCATTTAGTCCAGCCCCCTGCCAAATCCTTCAGAGCTCATTCATCCATAGGCAACATCCTTCCTCTGTTTTCTTAAACTAATGATAGGAATGTTCTGACTAGGCCATTGTTCCCCAGATGGCTAAGGAATTATGGACCTGCACAGATTTTAAAGTTGAGAAGGTTGAGAAACATGGATTAGGCTTCGTTAGGGGGAAAAAAAGTTACTTCTGGACTATGTGTTCTCATCCCAACCCCCAAAAATGGAATTGGAATTCTTTCCTATGCAAAGAATATGATTGCATTTAATATACTCGACTCAAAACCCATAGCTTGCGCACCTATTTTGGTTACATCAGAAACAGCAGGAAATCACTCCTCCTCAATTTTTAAAAATAATCACCTGAACAAAAAAAACATTTTGAAAATGCCAGATGTCTGATGTGGAAAAAATTTTGACGCTGGAAAATTTTTTCCACTGAAAGTTTTCCGGGTTTAATCTTAAAAATACTTCCAATATTAATTTTTTTAAGTAAACCTGTATTTCCCTAGGGCTGGTTGCTTAACTTTTATTATTACTTGGTTGTAATGTTCTGTTAAAAAATCAAATATCGTTTTTTTAAAAAATGAAATATACATGTCAACTGTTTCACTGCTTTGGGGGATTTTCTTTGAAATGCTGCACTCATTATAGCCTTACTTGGCAGCAACTCTTACTGTACATAATTGTATGTATGCAGATGTGCACAGATTATTTGGTTTAATTGCAATGAACAGTAACTGATTAGGAACAAGGAACAATTTACATTCAGAACAATCAAAATAAGGCAGGATTGAACTAGGCAGATGTTTGTGTGCACAGTCTGTAGGTAACATTGTGATTGTTGATAAAAAGGACTACAATGTAACTGCATTGAGTAGCAATCATAGGCCAAAAGGGTGACACAAGGTGAAAATAAGATGGCAGAAAGCAATCTTCTTTAATGACTGCCAGTCTGGATAATAAACTTTCAGCTTGAACTCTATGTTGATCATAACAACGTTTTTCTCTTGTTGCCAAAATTATTTGGGGCATTTGTTGATATTTGATTTTGCCTGAATGCTTAGTTCTTTTTATGTGTGGGATACACATTTTCTGGTTATTTTGCTCATAGCCTTGAGCTCTGAAATGGGAAACTCCCTTCTAAACTGCCCCTACTGGCTAGGAAGTCAGACATATCTGCTCTCCCTCTTTTTTTTAGAGCAAATGACATAGAATGCCCCAGTTCAGAATTGCCTAGTTATGATATTTTATATACTAGATGGATATGCGGTCTTCATTCATTCTTCTTCAACTTTTGACATGTTTGAAGCGAATAGCTGGTTGGGACTTGTAGGCACGAGCTGCCTCAAACTGACCCTGGCAAATGTAGGAGTGGAAGGACGAGACTTGATCTCTCGTCACCACAACCCCAGACTTGTGGGACCCTTTGCACGGTTGATTTGCAAATTTGCAAGCTCATTCCTGCACGCAGCTTGTCAAAGGAAAAACCCTTTCATAGCTTCTTCCGGGTTTTTACATTGCAATAGATCGCACCATCAAGCAGAGAGCCGCGTCGCAGACTGCAATTCCCAGCATTCGCGGAAAGGGAATCGGGCCTCGCGCTGCACCCTGGGATCTGTAGTCTTGTAGCTGCATCTCTGAACGCAAAAGCGATTCACTTCCTATTAGCTGTTTAAAAGACTTCTCTTGCAACAGTGCACGGAGAGAGCAGTAATACTCTGCGCCGTAAAGCACAGGCAAAACCCGAATTTTATTCTTTGTACAGACATTCTAACAGATCCTCCGACCTCCCTCTCTCTCTCCAGGGCGAGCGACCATTACACCCGACTCAATCGTTCACCATGCCTAAGGGCCGCTCAGCGTCAGTGCGGTCGCGGTGCCCGATGGGAAGCGTAGTTTTTCTCTTTCACGGCCTCAGCCGGACTGCAGAGGGCCAAGCGCCAGCTAGGACTCTTTTTCCCACAATCCGCATCCACGTCAGACGGGCGTTTCCGGTCCGCGGCGCCCGCCGGGAACCGCGGTCCCGGAGTCTCGCCCCCTCCTCGTTCTTTCAGGGCACCGCTGCCCGACGCGGGACTCGGACTCCCAGGCTGCCTCGCGCCGCGAGCTGGAGGCGCTGGTGGAGGATTGTTATTGTGGTGGCCCGGCCCCCTAGTCTCCGCTCAGTGTTTAAAGATGGCGGCGGCGGCGGCTGCTGCTGCTGCTGCGGCGGGAGGCAGCGGCGGCGGCGGCGGCGGCTCCTCCTCCTCCTGGGCCTGGGTGCCGCGGGGTCGCTTTCCGGGACGACCCGGCGGGTGCCGCGCGCGGGGAGCCGGGGCCGGCAGCCGCGCGCGGATCTCACTGCTGGCGCCGCAGCTGCTGCTCTGGGCCGCCTCCGGAGAGGGCGAGCGGGCCGTGGCGGCGGCGGCGACGACGACGACGGGGGACAGCACCCTGGGGAGCCTGCTGGGCCTCAGCCGGAGCTGGCGCCGCCTGCAGAGCCTGCTGGGGGACAGCGGCAGCAGCGGCAGCAGCAGCGGCGAGGAGGAGCCGGTGAGAATCCCGCGGCGGCGGCGGCGGCGCGGCCCCTTTGACAAGGAGGGCGGCCCTGGCGCCACGGAGCCCGCTCCCTTCCTCGCCGGGCGGAGCGGCCCGTGCACGCGGGTCGACCTTCCGGATAGCCGCGCTGTCTCCCTCCCCCTCCCTCTCCCCCCTCCCCCCCGGATCGGGCGTCTCCTCCTGGGAGACTGGCCGCAGCTGGGCTGCGATGCTCGGGCCGGAGGTTCCTGCGGGGCCGGTGGTGGCTGCTCGCCATCCCGGGTTGCAAGGCAGGGAGGCAGGGTCGTGGCAGCCCTTCCGCCGTGGGTCTGTCTCGGGCATCGGGACGGAGCCGGCTCCGCGTCTCCTGCACGTGGATTGCGGCGGTTTTCGCTCAGGGGCGGCCTTGGAGGGGGGGAGGAGGAGGAGGAGGAGGCGGGAGGGTTTCCAGCTGACTTAGCGCTGCTGCCTGGCCCCACCGGGCTCCAGCAGTGACTTCTGCCGGCTGCTTTTAAAATGCTCCGAGTGGCCTCCGTCGGTGTTGATAGCTGCCCCCCTTCGCCGTGCTAGTCCGGGCGTGCAGTTCGGTCCCAGGGGCGCTTCCCTTCCCGAGGAAGAAAGGAAACCCGGCTGGGGGGTGGCAGCTGAGCTGGCAGGGAGCCTCCTGGAACTTGCGCCCCGGTTGCTATCAAACCCGCTCCTCCCTTTGTGCCGCTTGGCAGGGCGCGGTGTGCAACTAGTTCAGGTGTGATGGGGTAGCCATGGTGAACAGATGCTGTCCTCCTCGGGGGGAAACCGTGGAGGAGGGGTTTTGCTTCCAGCCCTTGTTATTTGTAGGCAGCTGTTCTCCCTTTTTGCTCCTAGGTGCTCTTTAATAGGAAGGTGGCTCTTTGGGAGAGAGGGAGGAGGGCCTGTTCCTGGCTAGTTGGGGGTGTGGTGCATTCAGACATATGCTGCCTTTGTTTCTTCCTGGATCCTCCAGAATTACTCCTTGAACAGTCACCTGCCAGAGAGGCTTTCTCCTCCTCCATCCTCCTGTATCCTGATCCTTGGAGGAACCAGCTTAACCGGAGAGGTCCTCTCATACAGCTTCTTACAAAGCAGCTTGGCAGATGCTTGCA